GGGACCCAGTGATAGCTGTAACTTCTGCGTTGCCTGCTGGTTGCCTTGGTTGGGTGGGATGAGGCTGGTGGTGGGGTGGGTGGAAGGAAGACCTCCTTTCCCCGCACACTACCCATCTCGGCCTAGACTAGTAGGTTATACAAATCTGGCCGTACTTTTCCTTCTCATCCTCCCCCTCAGCAACGGAGGCCATGAGCTTTAGTGGGGCACAGTACGACTCTTCTCGACGCAGGCTGTTCTCTGACCCCAAAGGAAAGTCCTGAATAGGGTACTGGGGCCTGTCTCTCTGGAGTGCTCGATTGAACACCATCTCTTGCACAAATACATGATCTGGTGATCAACCAGCATTGGTGGTTACATCAGTTCAGAGTTCTAAGCAAGTGAACTCTTCTTGTTCCATCTGGAGAATTCATCATGATTTTTTCCTCATCTAGGCCTTGGGGTGGGGTGGGGTTGATGCCCTCTGCCCTGGGATCCTCTCATGTACTTCACACTTCACCAAACAGATGCTTTCTGTTAACCTGCTAAGCCTGGTTAGTATTAAACTTGGCTCGATTTTTTAAATCCCATTTCACTTTTTGTGCCTTAATGTACTGTACAAATCCAGTTTCTTTCCAGCCCAGGGTATTGTGGGAGCCCAGAAAATGGTTTTTATAAGTGTCTCCGGCAGCACAGCTGAGATCTGGAGTTTTGCAAATCATGGGGATTTTCCTGTCGCCATCAATCCACGAAAGGCAAGGAAGACCTAAGGAGGAATTAAAGTTTCTGTGGGTACAGATGTTTGGGTCTATTTTGCTTTTTGAGACCTGCATTTAATGTTATCATGCTTACACAAAATGGATGCAGTCATCTCTGCTGTTTTCAAGTGAAAAGGACAAACAAGGTAGCAATTTGCAGTCCTATATTATAAAAACTGAAATACTTCTGAAACTGCAGCCCTCTCCAGCAAGGCTGTCCCGCCCGCCCGATGTGGTTTGCCCAAGTTTCTTTGTGTCGTCACGAGTTCCTCGCAAGTGGCGCGCCTTGTTTGGTATCCCTAGGTGTCGGGAGCACTTTAAAACCTAATTATAAGCTGCATTGAGAAACATAACATTCATTGCCGTAAAGGAGGCAGGTTTTTGAAGCAGACTCCAATACGAATGGACCATCATTTTTGGCTCGAGGGCCTCATGGAAAATGTTGGGGTTGCCTGGGGGGGAAGTCAGGAGGAAGCTCCAAGCCTCAGTTCCTCCATCTAAGCATGAGAAGAGACGCAAAAGAGGGCTACAGTTACATGGCTTGTGCCACAGAATAAATGATACCGTTCCCTTATTTTTATTTATTTTATTTATTTATCAAATTTATAAGCCACCCATCTCACTATACAAGTGACTCTAGGCGGCTTACTCATAAAAATGGTAAAAACGATAAAAAATCTTTACAAAATATATATAGTATCTACAGGGTCAAAAGATGAGGAAAATGTCAAATCACCAACCAACCGTAATCTTGCCTACAAACTGATCCCCCCTCCTTATCCCTTCTCTCACATCTCACCATTGCATTTGACTTTAAGCCCCTTATTGTCAGTCAGAGGCAGCTGAGGGCCGCGGAAGGGACCCTGCCAGCTTGTCAGTCACGTTCCTGCAATGAAGGAGCTCAGCCAAACTCTACTTCGGCTTCCACCTGTTCAGGGTCTGTTGGAAATCCTGCTGGGAAGGGCTCCAGATCCACCCTGGAACAGGGCAGTTTGGCCCTCGGTGACTTCCCGATCTGCAAGGGGTGTGAAACAGATCGGGACGGTGCTGGACGGGGGCCCAGATTGTCCCTTCAAAACAAGAGCCTCTGGCATGAGGGGTCCTTCGGGGGCCGGGGCTGCAAGACTCAGTGAAGCATTTGCATTGGAAAGGCCCCTTCTGCTAGTCAGAATATAATGACCGAGCTCATGAAAGATGCAGTGAGGTTTAGAGTGCTGACTTTTCATGCCTGTCATCTGAAGGCCGGCGGAAGGAGGGCTGCCGTAGCCAGGACACCGGACACGGGGTCTGACAAGTGGGGTGGGGAGAGAGAGGCAATCCTTCCGGTGGGAACGCAGCTGCCCCATGGCAAAGCACAGGACCGGATGTCAAGCAACAGCCTGCTTATGGCGAATTCCTTCCACAGCTTGCTACTCATGTCCCCAAAAGGTGATACTGCCTCACAGCAAGTCTGGGGGCAGCGAGGTTGGCCCAACAGCTCTTCCGAGTGCCACTCTCTCTGCAGACTTTCTGAATTTGGCACAGAAACAGACTAAACAGGACGGGGGCTTTAGTGCTTCAGGCATGGAGGCTCCAGCTGTCACAGACTGTAGTGGAAGCCCACCTTAAGGAGCCCAGAAGGCAGTGCTGGAGCGCTGGGTGAATGTCATCTTAGGAACCCATTGATCTGAAGGAGACCCCCAGCACGGTCCTGGAGAGCCAGGACCGACCCGCACTTCCTTCGGTCCCTGGCAGCTCCGGACAGAAAGGAGACTCTCCCCCCTTGCGCCAAGACAGAGGCCACGTCTCTGTCCTCTAGCAACAGTGCAGCAACAGCAGCTCCTCTGAGTAGTACTACTCCCTCCCGCCTCCGGCTCTGCTGATTTCACCCACCTCATTCGGTGTTTTGCTTCCTGCCCAGCCTACCAACAAGGCTGATCCCTGAGCAACATCGGAAGTCACCTGAAGCACCGAAACTGGTGCAGCAACTTGGATGGAACTGAAGCTGCAGCCCCACCTCTGAAAGCAGTCGAGGTGGGGTGGGGTGGGGTGGATCGTTTTCAAGCAATGGGGCATTCAGGGAATGCAAAGCAATGGACGGGAGCATCTCCTCTGCCGCCTCCCCTTATTCGTTCATAATTCTACCTCAGCAGGAGCTAATGCAATCCTGGCTGGGGGTTCCATGAATACTTAGCCTCGCCTCCCTTGTAGCGGCTAATTGCCCACTGCGGGTGGCTGAGCAATGCTTCCTGTTGCGCAAGCAGAGGTTGCTGTGGGACTGTGGGAGGAACGCAACGCAGACGTTTCTGAGGAGCAAGTGAGCCGGTGAGCAGACAGAAAGAGTTAACAGCGGCTTGCTTCTTGTATTTGTCTACCGCTGCAATTACAGGGCCCAGTAAAAGCATTGCATAAAAGCCAGCACGGTGCACAATACTCTAAACCCAGAGAGTGCCAGCCTGTCGCGGAGGGTGATGGGGTAGGTGCTATCCCGACCTCAGAGGGAAACCTATTCCATACTGCAAGGGGCACCCCTGAAAAAGCATATAAAAAAGCGCCTGACCCACTGACCTCTAAGAACTGGAGGACCACCACATTTTGTGGGGATGGGGGGCCTGCCCCAGATAGGTCACTTCCACATAAAGAAGGCAGTCCTGAAAGTACCCCAGAACCGAGCCGTATCGAGCTTCATCGGTTGAAAGCAGACCTCTGAATAACACTCAGAAACCTTTTGGCAGCCAAGTAGGGCCCACAGCACAGGGGTAGATGACGATGGTGATTTTCATCCACCGAGAAGTGAACTGCTGCGTTTTGCACGCTGCTTCGGAATGGCTTTCAAAGGCAGCCCCATGTAGAGTGCACTGCAGTAGTCAAGCTGCATGAGGTAAGGGAGTTCTTCCCCTCCAGGCAGGGCTACCACCAGCCAAAGCTTCCCTGGCCACTGTCTTCACTTCCAATACAGCAGGAGCTGTGAGTCCAGGAGGATCTCCAAGTTGTGGGTGTGCTTCTTCAGGGGAACAACCATCTGGAGTTGACGAAGCACCTGTTTGAATCAATTGCGGCTTCATCTTGCCAGGGTTCAACTTTAGGCCGCTTTCACTCATCCAGATCCCAATACCTTGTACATACCACTAAAGACTTCCATAGCGTCTCTTGCTTGACCTGGGGTGGAACTGTATATCACCAATATTCCCTGGTGGTTACATGTTGATATTAAAGAGCAATAGGGAGAGAATCAAGTTCTGGGGCACTCCACAACTGACCATCCATTCAGTTGACCTCTCCTTCCCAAACACCATTAACTGGAACCATCCACTGTAACATCTAACTCCTTGCTGTCACAGATGGACCAGAAGGATACTCAGATTGATTGTGTCGAACGCCTTTGAGAGGTTTAATAGGACCAGAATGAGTACATTTCCCCCCCTTCAGGTTACAAAGAAGTTCGTCAGCCAGAGAGACCAGTCCTGTTTTCATCCATGGCTGGGCCTGAATTCAGACTGATAATCTGTTGGGCACTCTGTAACTGGTGCATCACCATCTTCTGAACAACCTTCCCACAAAAGAGAAGGCAGGTAATGATAGTTATGGAAAGTGACTGGGACCCAGAGCAGCTGGGGTCTTAAGGAGGGGGCACACCACTGCTTCTTCAAGGTGGCTGGCATCACCTCCTCCTTCAAAGAGGTGTTGATTACTTCCCAGATCCAGCTATTCGCAGTACTTCCAGGCACCAGAAGGAACCTGGATGGGCATGGCTCTAACCCTGTCAGACAGCCCCCTATTTACTTCATTGCAATCCACAGGCTCAAAGGAAGCCCAGATGACATGGTGAGACCTTGTTGCAGGCCCAGCTTCAGTCTTCACCCATGAAGAGTTCAGACCATAGTGACTGTGAATAACTTCATTGGCAAAGTGTTATGCAAACATGCCAGAGAGGCCAAGTGGCAGCTCTTCGTTCCCCTACCAGCGTTTCGGCAATCTTAAGCAAAACCGTTGGATGGCAAATCACTGTTGCAATATGAATGGAGACCTACTGATATTTTGGCCCTGTGGTCACCACTGGTGAGGCTTGCAGGAGAGCTAAGGCCCCTGCTTGGTCAGATTCACTTTTCTTGTTCCTCCACCTGCCCTCCCGACCCTGCTTCTGATTCTTCAGTTCCTGGAGGTCCTCAGTAAACCAAGGAATTCCCTGAGATCAGCCAGCAGAGAGAGGTTTTCCTGTTCCAGGAAGAGAGGGTGCACTTGTTCTCTTAGCCTCTTAGATTTATGGTCTTGTCCTTCTTGTAGGACAAGAACTAGTGGAAGCTTTACAGAGGGAAACCCAGGCTCAAAACAAGAAGGCATCTCCTACCCTTGAGGGCTATGAAGCCATGGAACAGGCTGTCTTCTGGAGGATTTGTGGGGGCTCCATCACTGGAGGCTTTCAAACAAAGGTTGGGCAGCCATTTTGTGGGATGGACTGGCAGAAGGTTGGACCAGAGGTTCTCCAAGGTCCCTTTCAAATGTGCGATACTATGATTTTATGTCTGCCAAGAGCAAATATCTATGATATGACAAGAATGTCCCAGCTACATCATGTCCACTGACATTTATTTATTTATTTATATTTCAAATTTAGACACCGCCCATCTCACGAGGAAGCGACTCTGAGCAGTTTACAATAAAAACAGCAAATGAGTATTAGTTAAAATAGAATAAAAATAGTATAAAAATCCAGTAAAACCAAATACATACATAAATATCCTTCTGCCAATCCATGTGGGGAAAGAAGATAATAGACCGAAGAGCCACAATCGTATCACCGTGGACTCTGAAGTTCTAGGAAGGAACCCTAAGATCCTGGGGGCTCAGGTGATGTCAGTGGAAGAAGCCTGGCAAGTGAGGGAAGAGCCCCCCAAGTGAAAACTGGCTACACAAATGGTGTTAGCAAGAGACATTTAATTTCTGGGACCCTGCACTGAGTTATCCAGATGATGGACTGTTGGTACAAAATGTCCCCACAAGGACTGCTAAAACTGTTTTTAGCAAAGTGTGGTGAGCTTGAATGTGAGGCCTTAAAACTGAATTGCGATCAAAATCTGAAGGAAGGACCTCGGAGAAAGACTAGCACGCTGGTGAAGAAAGAGAGAACATTGCTGCAAGTGGGTTGCTTAAGCCAGGGTTCCTCAACCTTGGCGACTTTAAGAGGGGTGGACTTGGCTGGGGAATTCTGGG